TGTTCGGGGGACGGTCGAAGACACGAGACACGGACCGGCCGCTCGTTACATAAGTAAGGTAAAGGATCTCCTCTTCTGCTCTCCTTGAGCCGATCCACATCCGCGATTATGCCACTTTCCATCGACCTCGCTTCACCTCGTCCGGCGCGAACGTGTGCGTGCGTACGCCGCGCCGAGCCGAGCCGCGCACACGCGCGCGTTGCCCACGAGCGGCGGAAGTCTCTCCGATGATTTTCTTTTCGCGCCGATCGCAACCACCGACCGCACCGTTCACCCGAGCAACGGGACTCTCCCACGATTTTCAGCGAAAGGCTCTTTCCGCGAGAGCCTCGGGCTCGATACGCTTCCACGCGGCGAATTAGGCGGACGAGATTATTATTAATTCCACCCGGGGATCCCTCGGCCTATCTCGAAATCCCTCGGCGAACGAGTGCAGGGAAATTGTATCGTCCGAACGCCCTGGCTGCCCGGAGATTAGACAGAGATTGTATTCCGGCAGAGACTCTCCGGCTAAAAGGGACGCTGTCTTTTCGAGAATCCCTCTGAAGAGGGAAATTATCAACTCTGTCCAGCTTTCAACCCTTGTATCCCGATATAAGAGGAACTTATTAAAATCGTCTTCGATGGGGTAGTTTCATTAGGAGAATGTTTTCCATGGGAATGTACCGTGGACTCTTGAACGATAGCTAAGTCAGCGTGAACCGTAAGTGGAGCTGTAGGGTTGACAGCGATCGGCTCGTCCCCGATGCGATCTCGAATCCCGAAGAGCTCGATGCTGCGAGCGCGGACCAATTTGTTGCGACGGTTTTCCACGGAAAAGTCGTTCCCTCGAGTCCGCTTATTTTTCTCCCCCGATTCCCTCTCTTTCTCTTTCTCTCTCCTCGCCGGTTCCGGTATAAAGTTAATTGGCGTAGCGATGGGCTGCGCGCGCGCGAGCCCGCTGCTACTCGATTTACACGGGTTTTAATTAAGCGACTGCGTTCGCCGGCGCACCGGACGAAAACACACCAGGCGGAATTTTTCTGGAAGTAACTGTTACGTGTTCGCCTCGGCCGGCTCCCCGCGCGGCGGCCGATACGATTCTTCCTGGCAGTAAATTCTCCGCTTTAATATCGCGAGCCGATCATATTCGGCTGTAACAGCCTCGTTAGCTCGTCACACACGCGTTTCGACGATTACTCCGACCATTATTACCATTCTTCCTCCTCCTCCTCCTCCTCCTCCTCTTCTTCTTCTTCCTCCTCCTCTTCTTCGGCCGGCGAATGCGGAACAGTTACGAACTGGAGTCGTTTGCAAGGATCTTCGGACGGATGGCCGCGATAGAACTTTATAGTCTTCGGTTATGATTCCCCATGGGATCGGTGACACTTCGGGGCCGTTGACCCCGTGCCGTGAAAGACCTTCGACAACACGAACGTCCTTGCGACGCGGTTCGGAGATCGAGCATGATCAATTCGGATAAGCGGGAAAAGAACGAGCACCTGCTGTTCCTAAGTTTCTTGTTTCTACGCGCGCATTCATCCGTCGCGCGTGTCTTCTTTGCGTTCTTTATGGAATAAATATGTTTTAAGCTGTTACTGTGAGGTCTCTGAAACGTGATTGTTGTGTCGGTTTGTTGAATCCCTTTGTAGCGCACACTTTGCATGTTAATTAAACAAGTTCCTTTATAGTAGTGTACCGAATGTTGAAGAATATGTTACTCTGGGATTTAATACACCTTGACAAACATTGTATGATACGTACATAATATATATTTAATTATTTAATCTTAATGGAAAATACTCTAATGATGTTTAGGTAGCAAGAAAAATGGCGCCATCTACGGAGAAAGGCTGAAGCTACTCGCTGGTGAACTTTTTGTCGGTACATAAGTTACTTCGATAGATGGCGCCACTATGGTTTTTCCATTTGGAACATACTCAGTCGGCAAGCCAGAGGTGAAAGGTTACTGGCAGAGCACGGCCAACTTTGTCTATTACCCCTGTGCACTTTTCAGCGACTGGTCAACAGCAAACGTGAAAGGCGAGTAGTAAATACATGGTAATGAGAAGAACAGAGATAGTTGTAGCCATGTGTCGATAAAATTGATTCCCATTTGTAGATGAGGTCAATTTCTATTTGTCAGCAGTTATTAGCAGTTCTTAGCAGTTATTAGCAAATTTCTCAGTTTAAAATTCTTTTGTTAGTATCCTTGATATTCTTTTCGTAAATAGTTAGAAACAAGTCGTTATAGAAAATATTTTTTATTAAATATAATATAACTTAATAAATATTTATTAAATATTTAGAAAATATTTCAACGTAACAATTTAGTGAATATTGTAAATAAATATATTGAATGAAGGTCACGTCACATAGTTGATTTGGTGGCGTTACCTACTACAGATAATCTAGAACTATTTGGCTAGAAGTTTGAGCAGTTTGGCACTACGTGGCGCCATTAATATGAGGAAGATAAGGGAGCGGGAACTGTGGGTAATTCTCTAGGGTTTTAGTCGTCCATTTATGATGAGAATACTCTGTTGAATTGTATTTAAAATTTATAACATTGTGTACTGTGGCGTTTTTTGGTCTGTGTTGTTGGTACTTGCTTATGTCTTACTCTTGGAGCGCCACATGCGAACGCACACTTATCGGTACTAGGTTATATCAGTAAATTGAATAAAACAAAAGATATAACGTTAAGTAACGTATTATGTTTTGAATTATGAATTAAATATAATACACTTGATTGCGCGCTGTCCATGCATACGTTAATGAACTTTATCTGAATATAATGAATATAATGGAGTAATGAAAATAAAACGAGCTTATATCTTGTAGTATTGTGAGAGTCCCAAATACAAGCTTCGAAAACTTGTATTTATTACGATAAGACTTTCTAGTGGAACTTATGGTTTGAACTCTTATCGCGAGAGTCCTGGAAATAATTGTAACCTGCATGTTATGAATCAGCCCGAACGATTTTAATGATTCGACGTGTACAAAACTGTTTAGTGTGAAGCATCGCGAAGGTTTTGAAAGTGAGGTTGTGTTTAAGATGGGTTCGGATAGAAATAATGAAAACTACGTAAGTTTCGTAGCATTAAGTCAATGATCACAGTAAATTATTCGATAATCTTATGATTAAGACGCTGTTAAATTGCGTATAATGTGTGTATAGTATTTCGTATAGAAACTATAATCGGTTCATGCCACGTATGGTACCGTTAGTTGTGTCAAATTTTATTGTTTAGTGAAATTGTGTTTTATTAATCTCTTTTATATTTTTTATTAAATTACAAATTAACGAAAGTTATTATTTCAGGTAATAAAAATTAATAAATGGGACGGTTCTGCAGTGAAAAATGCATTAGATGATGCGGTTAAAGATGTGCTTACTAAAAAGTACAATTACATAGAAAACTTTGCGTTACTCGATGGTCGACTAGCTCTTTGTGGAATTGCAGTGACATTGTCCCTTATAGCTCTACTCTGCGATTATCTCTATCCATTTCCAGCATCTAAACCTGCATTGGCTTCCTGTGTCACATTATACTTCTTTTCAATGGGACTTCTAACATTGTATACGTCGTACAAAGAAAAAGGGATATTTATTGTAGCAATCCAAAGGTAAACAGAAGAGAAATTGTGTATACTTCATGTTGCTGTATTTTGTTGACATTAATTGCTTTTTGTATTTCAGAGATCCAGCTGGTTTTAATCCTGACCTGATTTGGGAGGCCAGCTCATATTTGAAAAAGTATGATGATAAATACAATCTTGTATTATCCGTTAAAAATGCAGCTACAGGAAGTATAAATGAGACTAGCATCACAAAATCTGTGGCAAATTTCATTGATGTTAATGGTGTTATTATAGCAGAATTAGTAGAAAATGCTGTAACAAGTATGCATGATAGTTTGACTAGTCAGCGCAAAGAAAAATAGTAGTGAATACTCATCTGACTAATTAAATCTGTCATTCCTCTTATAATTTGTTGCATTTCATGTATTTCTCATTGATGTAAATATAATGCCAGAATAAAATCCAGTGGTTTAAAATGACATATGTATTGTAATACACGTTTTAAATACAATAGAAAAACAAATATAAACTTTTACATAGCCATTAATAGAATAAAGATTTTCTTTATCAACTTACATCACTAGTGAATTATTTACAAAGCTACATCATGCTGTATCCAATTTCCCCTTTTACAATGTATAACTGATGAAAATTTAAGTATTGTATACGTATGCAACTAACCATCAAGAAATAAAGAATAAAGTAAGAAATATCGAAAGTACATAAATAATAGCAGAGTACAGTGGAGAATTATAACATTTCCTTAATATAGGTACATTAACATAAAATGTGCTGGTTTCGATGTTTAATATGATAAATGTACAATTTTAAAAAAGTTATTGTAAAAGTGTTCGATAAAAATAATAATTCAGGTAATTTACATGTATCGAAATCATCAACTTCATGAAAAATAGCAATTTTCAGATTGATGATGGTTTATAAATAGCCTAAAATCTACATTAACCATGTGTCGTGTCGTCTTCCACAAAATCGGCAGCTTCTTCTCGCGTTACGCATACAACATGAGACACTTTATTTCTGAATTTAACACCATAAAACTTGTTGGCATGTTGTAATAATTCAGGTCTGCAAAATAATTATAATTTTAAGCCACGGATAAGAAGAAACATGTTCAAACTGTATTGTAACATTACCTGAATGTTGTTGTGATGAATTGAGCATCAGAACTAAGTTCGTGTATCATATCTGCTACAGCTTTCCTATGCTGCGCATCCAGGGCTTGGTCAATTTCATCGAACAAGTAGAACGGCGCCGGATCACATTTTTGTATCGCAAATATCAACGCCAACGCTACTAGTGATTTTTGTCCACCAGACAACTGATTCATTTCTCTCATTTCAGCTCTGTGGCCAGTAAAAGAAACTCGTATACCTAATCAGATTAAAATGTTTTGATCATTCTTTTGCGTTTCCTGTTTATTCTATGCATAAAAAATAAGTGGTAGAGATATTAACTTACCAACACCAATAAACCTATCAGAGTCAGCTGATTCAGTTGTTGTATCGTCTCCTTCATCGCCATCAGCTGTCTTCATAACTAATTGTGCGTGACCCGATGGAACAAGCTTCTTGAAAACCTCGCTAAAATATTTGCTAACCTAAAATTAATAATACCAAATTTAGACAATGGAAACAACAATATAAAATATAATCGCATTACATACTTGTTTGAAGGTAAACTGTATAGCTTCACATTTACGTTGTTCTAACACTGACATCAATTCTTTAATTTTTTCATCGCCTCTATCTAATTCCTCTTTCCTCTTCACTAACTTCTCCTTCTGATCGCTGAACGACATAAACTGATCCAATGCTTTTTTATTTACATGACTGAAACAAAATTTATCAATACATTTTACAGGTTTACGGATTAAATTTCTAATTGCAACTATTGTACCTGTATTTCTTTAAATGATTGTTCGCCTTTTCCATTTCTTTGAACAACTGTTTGGTAGACATAACACTAAACTTAGAATATACTTCGTGACTAGGCAATGCACCGAGCTCTGTGATTTTCTGCGTGCATTCCACTATTTTTTGTTCCAAGATATTCAATTTGCTGGCTAACTTTTCCAAGTCTTTAGCATCTGCTTCGATTTTCTCTTGTGCTTCTTTCTCCTTGACTTTCCACTTCTCAACCTCTGCTGACTCTGCTTTTTGCTAACGAAAGAACAAAGCGTTCATACCTAAACATTAATTATTTCTCGTATTTTTTTTACCTTCTTTATGGCATTAGTAACTCGTTCGTTCTGAGCCTTAAAGTCTGCATTCACTTTCACTAGCCTCTTTTCGATGTCCGCTAATTGTGCTTTCGATGATTCCAGTTGTCGTTGTCGATCTTCCACCGATATTTCTTGAAGAGCCTGAACTAATTCGTCTTTCCTTCTTACCAAATTATTCGTTAGTAAGTTCTCCAATTTATTTTTCTCAGCCTCTAATCTCATACGTTTTGCGAATGCTTCCTTATTATCTTTCGTTAATCGTCTTATGTCATCATTCAATGTATCCACCTAAAATACAGTAAACCGTACGTGAACCATTGTTCGATTTTTTACTTTCATTTTCATTACCTGACGCTGGTCAGCAACAGACAGTTGTGCCATCAGTTCCTGATGCAGTTCGCTTTCCAAACCTTCTTTCGTTGCACGCATGGCTTCCAAACTCGACGTGCACTGAGCAAGACTTCTTTCTTTTGGGGTACGGTATCTTCCTATCGCACTCAATTCTTCTTTCATGAGTCGTATCTCTGCTTTCATCTTATCGTACACGTCTCTATCATAAGAAGAACAATTTAATATGTTGCATGTTAAACGTGTACAATGTAAAATGAAGTAACAACGACTTACTTTGCTTTACTGTTTTTAGTTTCAGTTCTTTGCATTTCACTGACATAAGAACTTATGTTTTGATCTGCTTTTCTAATCTCGTCTTTAAGAGTGGTCAATTGAGATTCAAGGGACGAAATTTGTGCCATTAACTCTGATCTAGTTTTCTGTATTTCCAAACGTGACCTCAGCGTATTGAAGTATCCACCCGTTAATGATCCTTTTGATGACACTTGGTCGCCTTCTAGAGTTACGCAATCCAGACCCGAGGTACGGGCCAAATTTGTCGCAGTTTCTAAGTTGCGGCAGATCAACGTTTTTCCAAAAATATATCTGTATTTGTAGATTAAAAATTAAATTTTTACTGAAATTAATTATATGCTACTAGATGTTTTATCCTTTTGTTTTACCTCAAGGCTTTGTCATATTTTTCATCATACTCTAATTTTGATATCATAGGCATAGCATCGCTAGTTATTGGATAGTCTATATCTTTCACATGTAGTCGATTCAAAGGCATAAACGTTACTTCACCCGGAAGTCGTTGGTTATTCATTTCTTTCAAGATTTTTGTCCCGAATTTGTCTGTCTCGACGATATGATGGAATAACCGATTCCCAGCAGTCACCTCTACAGCCATATAATAATTCTTCTCGCAACTGAAGTTCTCAATCACAGGCCCATAATAGCTACTCACCTCGTGGGCCATATCTTTACGTGTTCTGAAAAGTTAATGAACATTAATGAGGTTTCCTGCTTTACGTATAGACTCGTGTTATTTACCGAAAGGTATCCAGCACTTTTCGCACACTGTCTCGTCCGTTTAGAATAGGTTTTCCTGCCATAGATCGCAAACTTTGATCCGCCTTTGCCAAATCTTCTTTAAGTCCTGATAAGTTAAGTTGTAAAACGCTCTCTTGTCGATACCTATAATATAGTAAGCATTATGTCTTCGTTAAATTCCTTACAAATATTAATAAAACAAACATAATGAACAAACTGTTCTTTTCGAGTGGCTTGACATTGGTCCTTCGCTTTAGTTAACTCATAATATTGCTTGTTATGTTCGTCTATAGATGCTCGTTGCTGTTCCATTTCGCGTGTATGCTCTTCGATCTTTTTCTCTAAAATAACTTGCTTCTCTGCATCCTTTTTCAAATCTTCGCTAATTTTTCTTTGGTGTTCTTCTTTGTCTTTAATTTGTTTGGTAAGTTGCTTCAGCTCGTTTTGAATCCAGTTATCTCTCTCATCCTGATGTGAAGGAATAATTAAAGAATGTATGCTTCCAATACAAATGTATGCACTGTATTTAATAAAATTATATTAAGTACCCTGGTAGTGAATTGGCTGCCACGTCCTTGTTTGGCATACAATTCTTTTCGTTTCTGTTCTTTTAGTTGTAACTCGCGTGTGCATTCCTCTTCCACACGTTTCATTTCTTCATACTAAAGCAAATTGATAATTGTTAATTTTATTATAAAAATTCTTAGAACAGAACACTGATGATGTAACTTACTTCCGGTTTAAGTACTTCTAATTCCGCCTCTCGTGCTGCAATGTTTACTTTTAGTTTTTCCAATTCCTGTTGTGCACGTTTTCTGCTGTCATTGTCTCCTTTTACTTCTTCCAATAAGTCATTAATAGTTAATGTCAATTTAGTTTTTTCTTTCAGTAGCTGCTGCTGTTCAGCACTGTATATTAAAGTATTATATGTAATTATAATGAAACTGGAATCTACAAATATATATTAGAATACTACCTGAGTGTGTCTCTTTCTTCTTTTGCAGTTTGCACTTCTTTCTTTGCTTCTTTGAGGCGTTTTGTTGCAGCTCTCACCATTTCCTGTGCAGTTTTTGCTTCTGCGCCTAAACGCGCTTGTTCTGCACCGCTATTTGCCCTAGATTTCTTAAGTTCTTCCAACTTTCTTTTATTCTCTTTCAGTTCTCGTTCGTGAATCGTATATTCTAAACAGCGACGTTGTTTGTCCCAGCATTGGTATTCTTTAAGCTCCTCCTTTTCTTCTTCCAGTGTCTTTAAACGTTCCTCTGTAATTAAAGCGAGAAGTTAGTTCTCCCTGAAGTATTGTTATAGACTTTAATTCTAACTTACCTATCGTTCTTAAAAAATCTTGAATCTTCTCCAATTTTCCTTCTGTTTCTTTTAAAATAAATTTTGATTCTTCTCTTCTGTCATCATATACTCTAGTACCAGCTACTTCTCTTAATAACTTAAGTCTCTGGGAATCGGGTGCTGTTGCCATTTGATTTATCTATATAATATAAATTGTCACATTTCCTTCTAAAAGAAATAATAACTTGATTACAAATCATACCTTTCCCTGCTTTACAATATAATACGGATTTGATCTTGAAAATCCTGCAGACTCCAATAAATTCATTACGTCATTCCTAGTTACTATTCTTTTATTAAGGAAGTATTGGTCCTTCTTTGAGCCAATTACTCTTCTCAAATATACTTCCTCTTTGTCAATCTAGAAGATATTATTATTTTAAAAAACAAAATTACAAAAAATAGACCATTCTATGCTTAATACAATTACCGGCAATCTTCCATCAGAATTGTCAAATATAATTTCCACGTGTGCTGAAATAACTCTTGGTCCTGTACCCTCATGTAATAAAGCTTGTCTTTGTTCTGGTCTGAGATGAGAAAATTCATCGCTCAAAACGAATTGAATTGCATAAAAGAAGTTACTTTTGCCAGAACCATTCCGGCCCACTTGAAATAAAAAGGTACACACATGATGTTTATGTAGAAATTGTTTATCAGAAATTTTAGGTAAAATATTTATACATACCCACTACATTGTGCCTTGGATCGAAAGGTTCTACTACTGTCTGTTCACGGTATGACTTAAATCCTTGAATAATCACCTAATCATAAAAAGGTTTCTTATACAGAATGTAAACATTCGATGTTTAAATGTGCAGAAAAGCTTTATTGAGCAGTCAAAAAGTGAAATTAAATTTTAAATTGATAATGTTTGAAAATTCAATTATTATTGTTGCACAGTTCTAATTTCTTGGATAAACTTAAAGACTACAATAACATTTCTAATAAACTTATCAATTTTGGTTACCATTAATATTGGACGCATGACTTCGACGACAAAAAGGGATTAGTAGTATTTCGTCAACGGTAATTTTTATTTGTGTTCGAATTTAATAGCAACAACAACATTTGCTTTTAGCTATGAGCGTCCGTTGTAGAGGAAGTAGTGTGGAGCGCGCAAAAGAAGACAGACATTCGAAGAGAATGTTAATCATTAATTTCTAATACCTGCTTAATATACATGGTGCAAAGGAAATGACACGAGCGTTTCTCGTGTTATCACTTTATTGTAACTCAATCGCAAAAGCAACTTCTCTGTCACTGAACAGAACAAAAATATTCAACCGACTTGTTGGCAGAGCGACATTTGTAAATTCGCAAGACGACATCGAGAAAAAGTCCCTATATTTGGGCGGGAGACGTAATGCCATTGCCACTACGGAAAAAAAGAACACCATGTATAACCGTTAAAAAATAATTTTCTTTTATGTACATTTTTTCCAGCATAAAAATAAAATAATTACGAAACATTATGATTAATGATTACTTTATTTTACAGGGGATAGTAGGGAATGATTTTATTTCAAATAAGTATTAATTATATGTATCCTTTAATGATGAATACTCAAAGCATCACTTTGAACTTCATGACTTAGCTGTGTCTGCAAGTTGGACAATTTATTCTTTAACGCTGCAATACCCATCATTACAATGTTTTCAGGCTTTAAGGCACCACTGCTTTCAACATTAAAATAGTATTTATTCGGCTTAGCTTCCCAATTGAATGGTGCTTCATCTGAAATATTTGAGAATTATTAATTGTAATTATTAATCGATTTCTCTAAATTTATAATCCTTACATTGATCTTCTTCTAATTCACTGTATTCCGATTTTGGCCATTCATCAGGTTTTGGAAATAGAGTATGCCTCATAGAATTGTCTGGGTCATACTCAAAGCTCACACCAGCTGTTGGGTTCCATTTTGCATGTTCCTTTCCAAAGCCCTTTTTGGCATACGCTCTAAGTTTTAGTTCTTGCCCCTTACGTAGTTTTACTATCAATATTTCTGCAGTAGAAAAACGTGAATTCAAATTGACTTTCCCATATCTACATTATGTACTTTGAAATAAAGGTGTTATTGATAAAAAATATAGACCATCTGTTTCTCCATATTCACTAGCGTCATCTTCTCTGTGTCTAGAAGTAACAGGAAGTACTCGTGGGTCACTAGACTTAAAATCTGCTGTGGTGACATGCCTTGTTTGATCCTCTGTACATTTTACGTCAAGAGTAAACTCCACGCTACATTCTGGACAAAAATCCATGCACTGACAGTCTCTTGTATATTGTATCCTATCAACAACCTAAATAATTTTAGTACAAATTGTTGTTTTTATGTTCACCATAAAATTTTAAACATAGTAAACCTCAATTTTTGATTACTTACGTCGTCGCTGATTAATGGTATCATTCCAATTCTATGGGCCAAAAATTCATCACTTAAAACTGTTGAATTGGCCTCTAACTGGATCCAATCGATAGCCATGGTAGGTGTTTCAGCAATAAATACACGTCTCATACTATTTGCCACGCTAAAAGTATTTAAAGTATTTAAAAATATATGTCAAAAGATCACTAAATGCAGCATAACCTTTCATACCTTAACTCAGTATCTTCAACTTGAAATTTTACATTCTCCTCAGTTAAATCCGAAATATGAACTGATGGTTGATTAGCGTACGGCATTTTGTTAAATTTCTTATATTAAATAAATAGAAAAACGCTGCTTTACAACTAATACTCTTACCACAAAACTTGTAAACGACCTACTAAACAAAACTTAGAACCAGAATGTTTGATTGGAAGTGCAGCGCCACCACGAGACATTTAAATTATAATATTTCCCACCATTTTTTAGCAGATTCAAAAGTATTTAAGATGTTGGGTACATTTTATTAAAAAAATTCATCACAATACATATTGTTCGTCATAAAATACGAAAAATAGACAAACTTATGTAATTATATTCGACTGAACAGTAAAAGATACTGAATAAAATGCATTTTCTATCAAAGTAATTTTGTAAATAATATGGAGGAAACATGATTCTTTTTATTGAGAATATTTAAATCCGCATTATGTATGTTGTATTATCATATAATAATCAGTAAAATTTCATTATTTGGTTATTGTTTAGTTGAATTACAAGATTGGTTCCTCCTCTTTTATAATCTTACATGTATAGATGAATTTAGTGTTAGTGCATCTATATAATTATTCATTGAAAAATAATAAAAGTGAGAGACCATGTTTCTTGCAACTCTTGCTACTTATAAGAAATGTAAATTCTATTATGCTAAAATAATACATCACTGTATTTATGGCACTAATGTTTCATAAAAATTGGAAGACTGGTGAAACACTATGCTTTGAGTATTTTAAATAAGTTTTGTGCAATCGTAATTAATCTTAATGCAAATGTATTCTAAATGCAGCATAAATAGGAACACCAAAACATACTATAGCTGGAAGTGTGGTATTTAAAAGTATTAAACGTACTTTCACAAATGTAAACTTTTGACAAATACAAAAAGAATGAAGATTTCGCTGACACGTCTAGCAACCGACTGTCATAGTTCATCCTGGAAACGTTCAATATCTTGTAAATGATCTCCGTAATCTGTAGCTTCACTCCCGACAAATGCATCATGATGGTCTAAAATCTCCTCAAAGGTTAATCTATTGTCGTGGTCGTCGTCAGATGCAGCAAACAGATGGTCTACTTCATCACTTGCTATTTCCCTGTAATAACAACGTTCCAAGTAGTGCAAGGAATGTCTTAGAATTAGCAATTGACAAAAAATTATAGAAACATTCAACTTACTCGTTACTAGGCACTAGCCAAGAAAGTATTTCATCTGAGTCTAGTCTGCCATCTCCATTTTTGTCATGCTCATAATCAAATTTATCTTTCTCAACCAACAACCATTCCTTATTTTCTGATTTAGCTCTGTTACCAATAAATTCTTGGAAGCTAATGAAGCCATCTTTATCTGTATCTTTGTCATCTAAAGCTTGTCTCAAAAGAAGTGGAAACATCCTAGGTGTTTCTTCAGGATGTGTATAAGCTTTGAACTCTTCTGTATCCAGGTAACCATCTTTATCTAAATCGGCAGCCTCGAAAGTTTGTTTGTCATCAGTGATAAGCTTATCATCTCCCGCTAAGTCCTCTGGATCCGTGCCATACATATCTTGCAAGATTTCATTCCAGCTGACTTTACCATCTTCATTTGTATCAGTATCCTCCAATCGATCTTGAGAGTCTTCAGTAGAAAGCATACTATTGCCAAGATAATATCACATTAATTTCTATTTACCATCAACTAATAATAATTAAATATATATACACATATATATATACATACCTAAATGATCTTAAAATCCATGCTTTTAGCTCATTTCTTTCGATAACCTTATCATTATTTAAATCCATTTTCTTCAGTAAAATTTCTAAGCGTCTTTTAGATTCATGTATAGGCAGTTTGTTAAACTCCTCTGCCTCTTTTACGCTACCTTTAAACAAACATTTAATATAACTTATAAGCAGTACAGTTTGTTTATTATATACGCATAGCAAACTGAATTACATGTAAACTATACCCTTTCACAAATAATAAATAAAGATACATACCAACGATAGCTTCATGGTCAAACTCCTGATGATGTTCCCCTCCGGCATAATGATTTATATCTCGTGGACTGAACGCACCATCCTCGGTTCTTTCATTGCTATTGGATTTGTTGTGCTGATGTGTATGGATATGTGCAGAAGCTGCATTCCCGAACGAAAAGAATCCGAAAATAACAACCATAAACAGTAGAATCCTTACACGCAATTGGCGTGTACACATTGTAAATTCGATGAATGATTCTGCGAATGAAAATATAAACACCATATAACCTCAGACCATCAAGAGTTTGATAGGTACACCGATCTCGACAGCGAATACCATAATGAATTTTATCGATCGTCTGCCGTCACGCGTGCCCGCGTAATCGTTCTCGAAACTCGATATCACAATTTTCAAATTGAACGATATTCAATTCAAACGTTCAGTTAATTATCTACACAAACTTCCCTAAACATATCGAACCAAATCTATCAGAAAACCATCAAAATCATTAAATTACACATCTAAGCAAATATAAATCACAAAAAGTAATTAGTCCGTTAATTTTCTATTTCAAACGAGACTAGTAGATAGTCACATAAGTCTGTGATAAAAAATGATCTTAACTAACAATTCAGAATTTTATAATTAAACAATGTATTTAATAATATATATATATATATATTTATAATAATTTTATAATAAAACAATTAACCCTTTGAACTCTGTAGGCTCCAATATTGCACCAGTTATAATATTAAGTATTCTAATGAATCTTAAACTACCCTAAAATTATTCGATTTTTCAGGCATCCAAATTTTGTACTAAGGAAAATAAAAGATCGAAGAAATGTTATATTTCTAATTTTCGCTAGGAATGCTATGAAAATTAGTCGCAGTTGCTAATTACAAAAGAACCTGGAGTGCCAAGGGTTAAGTCTACATACCTGTTCAAACTTATTTCACTATTAAAGCCGGATGGCAATCATGATTTCTCGATGGCAACAAAAAACTCGCTGATTATTACAGAGGAATACGATAGTCTGATATCAGTAGGGAATCCCCGGTTGTTAATATTCGAGATTGTCACTGTCGCGTCTATTCCGGTCGCCGGGATAATAGTTTGGAGGCTCCTGCTCGTGAAAGGAGGCAAACAGAAAAAGAAGATGTTGACTCGGCTTCAGTCGCGGCCAGTATGTGCAGTCATGACTTTGTTCTAGGGTGCGGGTACAAAAATAGAACAGCCGCACTAACACATATTCGATTTATTTCTATCCTTAGTGATCGCCCGACGAGAAAGAGAAAGAGATGCTCGCTAAGCAGAATATCACTATGAACGTTTAATCTATTTTTTCTTCTTTAATCCCTTCTACTACAACCAGTGAAACCGAAGATTTTCAACGTGATTCAACAAATATATACTCAGTTCATTCGAATTCAAAGAGAACATACTTCTTTAATCAACTGTTATACTTAAAAGGAAATAAAGGCATAACATGCTTAGAATTTTTCTATTTTTCCAAATTATTAATGGCAAAGTAGCAGTATTACCAAAGTATTACCAAAGTAGTACCAAATTTGAATTGAGAAAGGAATCATAGGTCAAAGGGTTAATTCTCGATAATACCGGGTGACACTAAAGACGCAAAGGGTTGCAACTGTTTTACGGATTGCACTTGTGACCTTCACAAAGTGGCAAAGCTAGGCCAAGCATAGTTCCGATCATCGTGTATCGCTTTCGAAAACTAATTATATACATTGATTTTTTTATACTGAGAAAGTTGATTTATCGAAGGCCATGGAGAAAGGTCTGTTTGCTTTATTCGACCCTTCGGATCTATTGATAATGTAATTAAATCTTGCCATTGTTAATGCGCAATGTAAAATACATATAGTTTGTGAGAATTCAAAAATATTCGTCTTTTATTATTACACCTAGCAGCACTGTATCATTAGATATTGATTATTATTTCGTGATTAACAGAATCATTTACGTGCGTGATGAATGTAACAATTAAATGTTTGTTTCATTGGCGCGTAAATCGATACTGCGAAGAGCCATCTGTTAACGATTACTGGAAACTTCTTGCCATTTGATGTATTACCAACATTCAATTACCCGCGAATCAGCGCCATCTATGATAAAACGCCCAAGCTATTAGCTAATTAGTACTAGATAGTGCTTGCAAGATGGCGCCACCAACATCTGTCCTTGCCCCAAATTACCCAACCAAGAAACATTAATAACTCATTAATTGCAGCACAAACGCGACAAAAACTATTACCAAAATATTGCCAGAGATCTACTCTAATTTCTACAATCACAAATGTTCATAAATTATGCCTATTAACTTAGAAACTTAATGATGCATTGGGTCCTTGTCAATCAATTCTAACCTATCCTCCGACATCGTCCGGAAGAATACTTGATAAATAATTAACCTGGTAGAAAATCCTATCGATGGTGACATGAGAAACTAGAGGAAGGTCTATTCTATGATTCTAAATTGCAAACGTTAACAATTTATTCGTGGGAATCGAGTTATTAATGAATTCGCTGCTGATTTCGTTGTTTCTTCTCCGTCGCCATGTCGCATCTAGTTTCTAGCCGTCGCCGCTAGATGGCGCCACCAAAATTGCTATCGTGGAGACCTCCTTAGTCCTGATGCTTCACGAGTAGGTACCAGGGACTGATGAGATGCTTTTTCCAAGGAGGTGGCACGAGAGAGACTATCTCTGTCCTTGTCGCACACTAGCTCTGTCCTTGTCGCACTCATTGCGGGTATAGGGAGAAGCTTCGAAAACGCCCGTCCGCTAGATGGCGCTGTCTCGCCCCGGCGCGCTGCAACCAGCCTTACACCCATGTTTTCGTTCTGCCAGCGTTATTCTATCAATACCATAATAACATTTATTATTACTACCAACGTATAAGCTCTATCTTAACGTTGAAACAATCCTTTTTCGTGGCGCTTGACGTGTTAATACGATATTATTTATTAATTATTCTCGGAGGCTCGCTCTATTCGAAGGAAACGAATATACAAAGTTACGAAGGAGGGGAAATAAAAAATACAAAAATCGATTAACCATGATTACGATATTATTTATTAATTATTCTCGGAGGTTCGCTCTACGAAGGAAACGAATATACAAAACTGAAGGAGGGTAAATAAAAAATACAAAAATCGATTAACCATGATTATTTATATTTCACGATCATCAAGTCATCGCGTGAAACTCATTGAGTCTTCGTTCCTGAAATCTGCGTCCACGGCTACTAGCTTGAGCCTTTCTCCACCGATGGTGCCACTGGTACGTTTCGTCCCGCATAATTGTCAAACGTTTAATCGCGACGATCAATGATCGTTAAACAGCCCGGGAGTGTTTCTATCGCTGGAAATAATTACGGGGACGATCGTTAAACGATACGCTGTTCACGGAACGTTATTTACTGCAGCTTAGACGAGTCCTGACGCATAATCCCCACGGTTTTATCCGCGTATCGTTACGGCTCGTCGGTGATCGCGATCAAATCGTTCCCCGGATCGCGGCGGAGGTTTTCCGCTTGACAAGCGGAGAATTTACGGCCGAAATGCCGAGGATCGAGCCACGATAATTGATAATCAAAGCGAAAGCCGGCAGATGGTGAAACCGTCCGCTAGAACAATTACAACCTCGTGATTGAAGTCGCCATTAAACCGGGCTCGGCGGCCCGGGGGGCTCGCCGCGCGTTTATGCGCGCCCGGGAATAATCACGTATTCTTCCGGTTGTCGGCAATAGTTGCACATAATCGTTTCCGATACCGTTAGCTGCTGAAAATAGAAGCTAATGAACCTGTTTGTGTATGCCGTTTTTGCGCGTCTCGAACCGTCGCGTGTCAAACGGTAATAGAGTCCGCTCGGCTGCGACGTCGGGACGAAAGAGGATTTCGGACGACGCGTCCTAAGGGGAGCGGTTCAAGGGAAGGTGCGAACACAGCGAAAGGTTTTGCGCAGATACATCGTAATCTAATAATAAATTATAAATACATGCTTGCATATTACAGCTATAGATACAAAAGATGACATGCAGTATGGAGTTGTCGTTCGTTTATGCGCTTAACGGAAAAACCACGGTCCCACGTGTGCACCCGAAATATCCGACAGACCTCGACAGTTTCTCACAAGCCGTTATTTTCCCGAACGTGTTTCACACGTGGAAAAGTGACTCGATGCTCCGCCGTTTCTCTTTTTATCACTTTCTCGTAACGGCACTGACACAGTACGTTTCACGCGCGAATTTTCGTCTCCCCCCGAGCACGCGCCGACCCGTGAACTACCGCGCTCGGTGCAACAATCGAGGTTTCCTCTCCTAAAACGAGCAACGCGATCCGCCTCGGAAAGAGATCGGCGTCGAACGGTCTCGATCGAAAGCGCGCTCGCGCGAGTACGAAACGAACGCGAACACTTTCCTAGCTTTCTTTTTGTCCGCGCGGGGAAATGTTGGTAACGGTTCGAATCGCGGCGCCAATCATCGCGGATTCGGGGAGGAACGAGGTCGGGAACGGCATCAACGGTTGTTCGCGATAAACGCCGCGGACGGAGCGCATGAATGAGCGGGGAACTCGGCTCGCCGTTTTTGGGGCGCCGCGTGGATCTCGTCTATGAAATAACCGAGCGAAGTAAATCGAGGTGAAGGGTCCCGCAAACCGGCTAACGGTATATTATACTCATCGGAATTCATGGTACGGTCCATTCGTACCGCGACTCGCGCGTCCGTCCAGCTCGCCGGTGCGATTCCGACGTTCGGTCTCCTGGGGTCCGGTTCCGAGAAGCATAAACGGGCCAGTCGCGCGACCGGCGGCCGGCTCGGCGACGGAACAAGAAACCGATCGCCTCCTGGTCCCCCGAGTCGCGCGATCGCGCGACGCTCGGAAAACGCGTCTCTTTTAAAAAATCACAATCGAATGCACGCCGCGTTTCAGCCTCGGAGCCGGTCACGGGTGCGCGATCGTTAACGCGCGGTAACGAGAGAACGGATCGACGGAAAGCTCGAATAAAATCCGAGGCGATAGAGTGCACCGCGCCGCTGAACGGTCGGCGAATCGTCGAATGCATTAACAGGGTTTCCGGCTCGTTACGGTCCAGTCGAGGGGAATGATATAACTTTATGGCGCCCCTGGAAAGAATAACTTGCCGTTGCTTCCCGTGGAGCGTTGTTACGAGGCGGCCTACGCCACCTGCTCGAAACCGGCTCGCGGAGGCAGGTCTAGTGAACTCGATCGAATTCCGAGACCGGATTCCGCGAAACGGCCGCAGCGCGCTGCTCCGATTCGTTTTTTCACGCCGGGATAACTTCGTCCGACTGTTTTCGGAGCGGACTGACCCACGGGGGAA